CCCCAAAACCCCAAAACCCCAAAACCCCAAAACCCCAAAACCCCAAAACCCCAAAATAGAGGGACATAATTGAAAATAAAGGGAAAGATTAGCTTTTATCTCCAGCTATTACATGAATTTATACAAGCAAGGAGCCACAATCTTGGGGTTTTTGAATAAATTTCAGATTTGGATGGAAATTGTACATCATTGGAACTTCCATGTTTCCTGGAGTCTGAGGTACCATCATCATTCTTGGAGATTCCATTCTAAATAGTAGAAGCACAAGAAAAGATATGAAAATCACAGTTCCTGGGAACCCAAAAACATAAAGGATTAAGAAATATAGCAAGAATTCAGCAGCTTCATCTGATTGATATGCTTTGAAAAGGATCACAGAGCTTATTCCAATCACCAAGACACTAGCACCTGCAGCAACAGTTCTGAACATGAAGATACCAATCCCCGGATGGTTAGCTCTTAAGTCTGAAAAAATCCTCTTCCCTGAAGAAAAATGAAACAAAGCATTATGAGATAAAGAAAACAAATGAGACTCTAGTAAAAGTGCTCGCACATCAATATCATCTCCAAAATTCACTACCACAGCAATGCCAAATTAATAATCTTCAGTACAGAAGTAGCCTTCAAAAGCTGCTCACTAGTTTTCATTTTATCACATGTAGTTTTGATAACTCAAGCGGAAGGGTTTATATGGAAGTTTGGCCTTAATGGATTTTTAAAGGAGATTTTAGAGAATGGTAGGTGGAAGGATTTAGAGTTTTAGGTGGTGAGTTTGTATGATAACGATACCAATATTACCCAACACTTGGAGAACCGTTAAATATGCAATAATTGTTGGCTTCGAATTATATCATTGACTGCTGAGGTTAGATTTAGTCTATTGAAACTATCACGATAGTTTGCTTTTTCAAATTTCTCTATGTACAACAGAGTCTCCAAGCTCCCTGATATTAGAACTCTGATATTAGAACTTCAAGAATTTTTAGGAATGCAAAGAAGAATAGATATACTAGTGCTTAACTGCCTTCATAAGTGACGATGAAGCCATAATTGATAATCACTGTGATCTGTCTGAAGTCTCTAACAACAAAGGTGAAATGAAGGAATTTGGCATTGAATTTTATGCTTGTCAATATATGGAACTAACACTCGGTGTCAACACAATCTAGTCAGCATTAAACATATACATAAATTGAATGACCAGAAATTATCCAACAAAAGACATTAAGCAAAAAGTGTTAAGACTAAATTTTGCTGTTTAATGTGAATATTAGCTTTGATCATTAAGGATTTTTAACTGGTGGGGTTTTGGGGTTTTGGGGTTTTGGGGTTTTGGGG